TATTAATAAGTATAATATATTATTATAATTAAAAAAAAAATTGTAGTCGAGTTAAAAACCTTTTGGGATTATTATGCAAATATAATTCGGATGCGTGTGTTGCATCTCTAAAAAAAAAACTAATATCTAAAATTTTGGCGATTCTTTCGTATATATTTTATATGATATTGTATTCCGCGTGTTGTTTCTTTTTTTGTTTTATTAATTTCTTTTTTTCTTTTATTTTTTTTTTTTGTAATTATTTATTATCCTTACTATAGATATTATTTTAAAACGTATCTCGTTGTACGGATTAGAACGTAATTTTATATTTTTCTTCTCTCTCTCTCAAACTGGAACTAGGAGCATAGCCGAAACTAATTGGAAATATTTATTTATTTAAATAATTAATTCAGTTTAGTTTAGTTTAATTTTAGGAACGATGGTGTATTTGTTCTTTGGGTTTGTTTTGTTTTTGTTTTTAATTCATTCTTATCGATCGAAATTACTTTTGTCCCTTTCTCGAATTCTTCTTTTTAGAAATTTTTGTTGTTTTCTTTTTATAAAAATTATCGCGCGTAATTTCGTTAGACCCGTCTTGTTTTTTTTTTGTTTTGTTTTATTATACATTTAAGTACATTATCGCGATATTAGGATGATCAAAAATTTAATATCGACGATATTAATTATTAAATTTTGAAGATGTATATACAATTGATTTTATTTAAATACAATTAGAAAAGTATTTAAAATTAAAAAAAAAAAAAAAAAGAGAAAAAGTAATGAAATACATATTCTGGATTATACAATTTATCGTGAATTATAAATAATGTAATAAAAAATAAAAAAGAAAAAAAAAAACCAATTAACGTCTCGTAGTCGTGTCGAATATTTTTTTCTTTTCTTTTGTCATTTCTTTTCCTCATTTTTTTTTTTTTCTTCTTATCTTTTCTTTTCTTTTCTTTTTAATTTTATATTTAATAAATTTTCCAACAAACGAATGTCAAACGATAAAATTATATTATATTTTTCGGTGACAAAAGTTCATAGCCTATCGAAGAAGCGCGTATTTTTAATAAAAAATAATTATTACATTATTATTATTATTATTATTATTATTTATTCCTCGTTCACGCGTGGATGCATTTATTTATTTATATTGATATATAAATAAAACGATCAAACAAACACAAACCCAAGTATAATCCGATTCATTAATTCGTTTTTTTGTTGTTTTTTTTTTTCGTTAAAACTCAGCCTACCCACGTAATACGTTTTACAATAATTATAGCTGCTAGAAAATAAATTAGGAACTATAAAGAAAAATATAAATAAAAAAAAAAAAAGAAAATGAGAAGAGCCATAAGAAAGAAATTACGTTGCTGCCTGTGTTTACGCGCCTAATATTTTTAAAAGTATGCTACCGATATTTATTAATTTTTTTTTTTATAAATTATTTATATATTCATTTATTTATTTATACGTTTTTTTTTGTTTTGTTTAAATTTTGATATCTAATATCTATTGCCAAATATACTTAAAATATTACGTTTCGTGCCACACTTTCGTTTTAATGGCAGTTCCGTTCCGTCAAAAAACTTATAATAATAATAATAGAAATAATTGTAATAATAATAATAATAAAATAATAATAAAATGAATTATAAAGAGCGCTAGGATAATTATTATTTAAATAAGATATCTCGAAAAGTCAACCGTTGATCTAATGAAAAACTTCCTCTGGTTTATTATTATTTTTTTTTTTAATTATTATTACTATTATTATTATTATTATTATTATTTTTTTACCTTCCGTTTTACTGTGTTATCATTAATTTTTATTTTCTGCTTCTAGTTCTAGTTTCGATAATAATCTAGGGACACTTTTATCATTTTTTTCGATCGAGTCCAATTTTCTGTGTGTTTTTTTTTTTGTTTTTTTTTTGTTGTTTGTTTTTTTTTTTTACTAATTCGCAAAATTACGGTCTACCCAACTTCGAGCTTTTCGCTGTAGATCGATCATTGTTATTTTCTAATTTAATTGAATTTCTTATTTTCTTTTTTACTTTTACTATTTCTCCTTTTTTGTGTTCTTTTATTTTTTCTTTTTTTTTTCTTTTTTATTCTATTTAAATTAAATCTTTTGTTGTTATTATTCGCCTATTAATTTAATTGGACAGCAGTTTCGCTCGCTATATTTAAAATTCTCGTGTTTGTAATATTTTTCTATTTCTTGTTTTTTTTTTTTTTT